GCTAGTTCTGGGATGTCCTCCCCGAAACATGCTCTCCTGCGGCATACATTTTTAATATGTAGATAATGACAGAGGGGCATTAGTTGTTTAATGTTTTTAAAACCTCTAGTACAAAAAGTAGATCTTCCTTCTTAATATGGATTGAAAGTTCTCAAAAAAATCTAGATTTAATTTCCTCCAAATTCAGCAGTGGATATAAACTGAATTTAAATTGATACCATCTACAAAAAGATGGTTTCACCTATTTGGATAGATTTCTCCTCAGGGCCATTGTAGATGAATAATTTGAACATAAAACATGGAAAATTATTTACAAAATAATCTTGTTTGGACTAAAGCTGGGTATAGATGGGTCATTTTTTTTTTAATCAGCCTGCTGCAAGGTGGCTGGAAGAATCCTACCCACTGTGCTATTGTATTCTGATAGTGGGGACTCTTCTACTTTCAGAATACACTAATAAGTGCAGTTGATTGGTTGCATCAAATAAAAATTTCCAACATTCCTGTTTGACAGAAGTTGATCCTTAGATTGACTTCTATTGAGTGAGAATGATAATAGATGGATTGAAATTCAGCTGGTTCCATCCATAGCCAGCTTAAATCTTCCTTTATAAAAATGGTATTCTGTTGTACGGATGAATAACAGAGTAATTGGACATATCAGGTTATCTTTTATCTCTAATTATCACCAGTGTTCTTATCTCTTAATCTTCATTAGTCCATTAGTCTTCATTAGTTCATTAGTCCAGGTAAGACACTTCAACATACAATTGTTCTTACAGTGCTATGTAAAAATAGATTTAATTTCCTCCAAATTCAGCAGTGGATATAAACTGATTTGTATTGATACCATCTACTAAAATATATGATCCTTTGTTTTCCACCAACTAAATGACCAACATGTTAACCATACGAAGCAGGGTTGTAGCAATGTCCCTCCCTCACAGGGAGGGTGACAGGTGCGGTGCTCTTCCCCCCCCCCCCCCGACCGAGCCATGGACACCATGGACCTGCGCAAGGGGAAGGTGAGCATGGGCTGTTATTGCCCCCCCACACACACACACACCGCTGGCTCCCCTTTTTCCTCTGTCAGGAGCACGGGAGAGGTAGAGAGAGAGAGAGACGCTCTGAATGGGCATGCTGACTGCTTGACTCCTCCCTCACTACCTTCCCCATTGGTCAGAGCCAGAGACCAATGAGGGGACAGGACTGGTGCACCAGGGGATATGTAGCTCCAGAAGACAGTCTGCCCTTAGGATACAATACGGCATGAACTTCAGCCCCCAGTATGCCCTAGCAGCAAGAGAAGGAGAGGGCTGACCCAGGAGAGGAGATCTGGGGAGATCAAGAAGGGACAACCACGCCACCTGGCACATCTGAGAGGGAGAGAATGATGCCAACTGCCAGAGAACTGGACCAGGCCGTCAGAGAGAAGAAGTAAGGAGGAGCCGCTGACCTTGCCATCTTGTTCAGTGAGGCAGTCTGCCAGCAGGTGACCCAGAGAGCAGTGACCGGATGCACGTGAGGCTGCTGCACTTGTGGGGGCCCCATCCACCGAGATAGAGAAACAACCAGGATCTCTTCTGGAAGCCACCGATTGGGTGAGAGAGTCCCATACACCAGTTAAGCTAGAGAACACACATTCTCTTTATACCTGCTACTATACTTGTACTCAGTTGTGGACATTACATTCAGTTAACACATATTGTGGCCTATCTCTTATAGCTGCTACCATTGAACACATAGGCAGTACAGTCAAACCAGCAGAGCTGACCTCGCCTCCTGCAGGCCAGATGCCATCAGTGCTCTCTGAACCATTTGCCTATCCTTCTAAAGGAACTTCTACCACCATTACCTGTCAGGAATGGACTTGCCAGTAATGGTGGGGCTCACCTGCCTTGTGGGCTGCAGTACCAGGGTTGGCCAGCGGGTGCTCCCAGCAATCAGAGACTCAACCCTGCAGCCAGCCAAACACCTGAAGTTGATTATACAGGTGTATTTAAGGGATGGCCAGACCTGCAGTCTCTGCCTTGGTGTGTGTTTTTCTTGGGCCCTGTATCTTGTTCCTGCATTCCTGTCCCTGTCCCTGTCTCTGTCTCTGTCTGATTCGTTGCTGACCCTGCCTGATCCGGACCTCTGCTGACTTCTCCTGTTTCATCCCTGGCTTGTGACCCCGACCATTCTCTGCCTGACCCCCTGTACCTACCTGCCCGATTGTTATTGACCCGGCCTGCCTGATGACGCTTGCATTGTATGTACTGTTATCTGTGGGTGGTTTGGTTTGGTTCGTTTGCACTGTGTTATGTTTTAGTATTGCACTGCGTTTATGTTTGTATTGTTAGTCTTTAATAAATTATATTGTTTATAACTTATCTGAAGCCTGCGTTTCCCTGCGTCAGTCACATACCTCTGGTCACACCCCGGAGCCCTGACATTACCGTTGGTTACCGCATCCCATAGTGGAGTTGCCCTTTTGCCAACAAGCCCATTTGTCAGTTAATACTTTTTTGCTTAGAAGCTGTTTTTTTCCAGCGCATTGAAGGGTATAAACACCCAAGTCAAGTGTCTCATTAAAGGGAAAGTCTTTGTTCTTTCTTCTACCTCCCCTTTGTATCAATCCTGTCAGGGACTATCACCTACATCATTGTCTATTTGTGCACCAACTGGGTCCCAGTTAGCGTGCAGAAGGGTCTTCACTGCATGTAAAGGAACATTGACTACAATAGTCAAAGAGCTCTTTAATTCAGATTTAAACCTTGCCGTTAGATTCTGAGGGCTCAATGTGAGCTAGTCTCATTGTTGCTAGTCCTCGTTCCTCACTGGAGTTGACATCATCTCAGGTCAGAGGCATTGGGTACATTTCTAAAAAGCAGGACTGCTAACATTGATTGAGCTTCTGCTATAGGTGTTGCTTGTTTGCTTAGAGTTGTTGTAAGAGTAATTATTGCTATTTCAATTATCAATATCAGCTTGCACTGTTTACATTGAAGTTTAATATAAACCTTATATCAGTCTACTCTAATCTGTGTGTGAGTCTAAATTCTGGTATTATAGTGTCTATCACTACCCGGATGTGCATGAGGGGGTATCTTGGAGTCGAGGCACAGAACAATGAACCCAAAATTACCAAGCGGCTCCTTTGGGAGTAGTACTACACATATAACTGGACCACATACTGATGTCTTAAAAAAGTAAGCACTGTTTTACATTTTATCTCTCCTCCCAAGATAGAAAACATAAGTTTGCTTATGTGGAAGCCACCAATATTCCCATCCCTATGCTCATATCTCGAGAAAGCAAACACAGTTACTATGGCTTGCTATAAAACAAAATACACTGTCATCCAGGATCTAGGAATATGGCGTTCCTATAACCCCAATCACCAAATTCTGGTCCTGAGTGTGCAAGCTCTAAATAGTATTAAGGGTGTTCCCTTTTCAAGTGACAAAGATCTCTTAATAGCACAGAACATCATGATGAGTAGAGGTGGATCTTTTTGTGTTTTCTACAAATCAAACACATTTTTTGTCTGTTTGTGTTTTATATACTTCCAAGGCCAGATTTATTTATGTGAGCCCTAAGCCAATTATACTGTGCTGCCCCCAAGGATTGTTTTTATCCAGTTTCCAGTAGTTTCTCCTAATTGTAAATCAAATGTGGGATATTTTGCCTATCATTTTAATGACAATACAATCCTTAAAATAAATATCTGTTGGCAGGCCAGTAATTTATGACTTCCCAAGGTTTATTTCACCAGTGATTTATGCCATCCTATACCATGTGGGATCCATTTGTTTAGTTTTAATTGAAGGCATTAACCTAATATAAAAATATTTGTTTTGGTTATACTCAACTTTGACAGATTCTTTACAATAATATCAATTTATAACCTGTATAAGAAAGTCACAAGATGAAGGGCTCTTTTCCATCTTTCAGATTATGTTTTAGCTAAAAAGAAAAAGTAAAATTTAAAAAAACCTAAAAAACAAACATGCTTTATCATCCTGCTAGTTTCCATAAAATGTACTCATAATTTGTTATGCTACACACAGAACTCAGTGAACAAAGTATGACTAATTTGCAGTATGTCTTCAACACGAAGTTCATGATTAATAATTCAATCATTTCAAATACTAATATAGCTAGGAAAAGTTTCCCTTCAATATTAGCAATGCAGTAACTGTAACCTTTATCTAATTACATTTTCATATCACACTGCTCACACTGTGATTAAAAAAAGTAGTTTTGCTAAGCATTTTTATTATTGACTATAGGGAAATACTGTAGTTTTATTTACATATGCTGAAATATTATAAAAAAAACCCAAACAATTATTGTTTATTTGCAGCCTAAGTCTGGCTCATTAATTTTACATAAACTATTTTAAGAATAAACAATGTAAATTAATTATCAGAACTCTTTGAAGAGATATATAGAACAGTAATCATCTGTGTATTCTATAAACTAATATGATACAGTTTACCTTATGGCAGCATAATTGGAGCCTTATCAAACAAATATCACAATAAATGAGCAGCTTTTTTAAAAGATAAGTCCAAACAAAATAGACTGTTTTCCTTTTGATGAATTTAGGATGAGCTTAAAGTGTTACTAAACCAACAACAGTAAAATCAGTCTGTATATGCAGTAAAGCATGCTTGTTATACTCACGGTGGAACCTAAGGGGTTAATCCTCTGCATTGTGTAAAGACGCTGTTTGATCCTGACTTTTCTGATCCTCCCCTTCTTCTAGTGCCTCCCTCTTATGTCCTGATAAGACATATCATGTGGAGACACTCTGCACATGCTCAGTTTGGTGTGTATTGCTAGAGAGGTTTATTTTTTTTTCTTGGGATGATGTATGTGATCAGCACAGGGCCAATCAGCACTGTCCAGACAGAGGTCAGGGGTTTTGCATCCTCCTAGAGCAGAAAGAAAACTCACCTACAAGCTTTACCAGTGCTCTGCTGGACACTGATAGAAGTCACAAGACTGCTCTAACAACTGATCAGTCTGTATATGCAGTAAAGCATGCTTGTTATACTCACTGTGGAACCTAAGGGGTTAATCCTCTGCATTGTGTAAAAGGGATGTTTGATCCTCTCTTCTGTGATCCTCCTCTTCTTTCAGTGTCTCCCAAATATCTCCTGCTAGAACAGAGGCTAGGGATGAGCTGCTCATGCTCAGTTTTGCAGTGTATTGATAGAGAGTTTTTATTTTCTTGGGAGAGTGCATGTGATCAGCACAGGTCCAATAAGCACTCTCTAGACAGAGGTCAGAGGTCCTGCATCCTCCTACAGGAGAAAGAAAACTCCTCCTACAAGCTGTAACCAGTACTCTGCTGGACACTGATAAAATTCACAGACTGCTCTAACTGCTAATGAGAAAAGGTATTTAGCCGTTTATATTTACTAAAATAATTGCATTGCCATGTTCTGTGTACTGTGGGAGATCAGATATAGTGAATGCGGGGGCCTGGGTTTAGTAACATTTTAAATTCTACAATCTCAAACATTTAGTCAGGTACATTTTTGCAATATACTGTACCTGAAATGAAAGTTTATATGACTTGTAGATCATTGACCAGTCCTTGCTCGATGTTCTTGTTCAGCTGCTTCATACTGTATTATCTGTGTAATGTGGGAGACCAGATATAGTGAATGCAGGATCCTGCTTTAGTAACACTTTAACAATCCGCTAAGCTATAAAAGGTTGAGTTGCACTGTTTTTTAGGGGTTAGCCACCTTGCAGCACTAGGGGCCTAAGTTTGAATCCCAGTTGGAATACTACCTGCATGGAGTTTGCATGTTTTCCCTGTAGTTGTGTGGGTTTCCTTTGGGTACTTCAGGCTCCTCCCACACTCCAAATTAGTGTGCCCAAGATGGCTGCCTCACCTCCTAAGTGCTATAGAAATATAAATTAAATTAAAACCTCTCTATAATACACTATAAAGCATAAGAAGTATATCCCTACAAACCCAACTTCATCTATTTTTCTGTGGCTTTGACACACTATGATTTATGCCAAGCATTGGTTTTACATATGTCATTCACCCCTTGCTGGGTTATCAGTAGGAACTTATGGTGGACACAAATGCACAGAATAAATCTTAGCAGGGTATGACACTTACAATTCTATATGGGGCGTAAAGGAGTACATGACTCTGCTTTATAAATGTGGCATGGTTATTTTTCTAATCAGCATTATGGCCCAGTTGGGTTACACTGGTGCTTTTATAAATAGGGTCCTGAGTCACTGATGAACCCAGGAAGTATATTTTAAGAATGACCTGCCATTTTTGGGTAGATTTCTCCTCTGGGCCATTGTACATGAATAATTTGAACATAAAACATGGAAAATTATTTACAATATAATCTTGTTTGGACTAAAACTGGGTATAGATGGGTCATTTTTTTTTTCAATCAGCCTGCTGCAAGGTGTCTGGAGGAATCCTACCCACTGTGCTATTGTATTCTGATAGTGGGGACTCTTCCACTGTCAGAATACACTAATAAGTGCTGCAGTTGATTAACTGCATCAAATAAAAATTTCCAACATTCCTGTTTTGACAGAAGTTGATCCTTAGATTGACTTCTATTGAGTGGGGAAGGACTATAGATGGATTGAAATTCAGCAGATTCCATCTATAGCAAGGGGGTGGACTGACCATTTGGAAAACCCGGGCACTGCCCGAGGGCCCGGGGTCAGTAGGGGGCCCCATGAGATGCCCCTGGTACCTTTTTCATAGGCTTTTTTTGAGTTTGGGCAAGGACACAGGGGCCCCATGATCCCCTATTGCCCGTTGGCCCCATGTGTTTGTCAGTCCGCCCCTGATTTATAGCGTAGCTTTAAGCTATAGATGGAATTGGCTGAATTTCAATCCATTTTATAGTCCTTCCCACTCAATAGAAGTCAATCTAAGGATCAACTTCTGCCAAACAGGAACGTTGGAAATTTTTAAAAAGGTATTCTGTTGGGGGCCTGATTTTCAATTTGCAAACTGAAATGTTGGTTACTTTTTACCAATTCACAATTATCTTGGGCAAAACAAATATTCTTTCAGTACGGATGAATAACAGAGTAATTGGACATATTAGGTTATCTTTTATCTCTAATTTTCATTATTGCTCTTATCTCCTAATCGTCATTTTAGTCCATGCCACTTGCTAACGGAAACCTAGAGGTAAGACACTTCAACGTACAAATGTTCTTACAGTGCTATGTAAAGGTTTAATAAATGCATGCAGTTAGCTTGTTTATTAACCACTTGACCTCCCTTCATGTCCAGGTCATTTTTTGATTTTTGGCACTGCATTTCTTTAGCTGACAATTGCATAGCCATGCAACACTGTACACAAATAAAATTATATAATTTTTTCCTACAAATAGATCTTTCTTTTGGTTTTTTGGTGGTATTTGATCACCATTGTTTGTTTTTCATTTTTTTGTGCTATAAATGAGAAAGAAAAATTTTGAAAAACAAACAATATTTTTTACTTTCTGCTATAAAACATCCAATGAAAACATTTTTTTTTTAAATCTAATTTCTTCATAAATTTAGGATGTTATGTATTCTGCTACATATTTTTTGGTAAAAAAAATCCCAATATAGCATATATTGATTGATTTACAGAAACGATATAGCATTCTACAACATATGATATATATACTGGAATTTTTACTTATTTATTTGTTTGTTTATTTATTTAATTTATTATTATACCATTAATGCACAGGAGAACCACTCTGCCACCATAATAACTAGGTTTATGAGGTCAGCAAAATGGTTAACAAAAAAGAATTGTATGTACTCTCCCCATGGCAATCAGTTTAAGGTTTACGAAACCCCAAAGTTTATTTTTAGGCTTTTTTTTTGCTTTTGGTACCATGCCTCTTAATGAAATCATTTTTAATGAATATACTGGTGACTCGTAAATAGCAGCAGCATTGTCAGTCTGCAGTGTGAATTTCAGTTGTTTTATTTTCCCCCCCCCCATTGGACTGCAATAAGTAGTAAGTTTTCCTTTTGTCTAGTCAAGGTAAAATGAAAATTACACAATAAAGATGATGATTTCCACTCATTTTTATAAAATGCTACTGTAGCTCTGAAGCAGAGACTGACACAGAACACTTGTATGTATTCCCATTTTTATGCAGTACAATGTGATCATAATATAGTGAATTAAATGATTAAACAAATAGCATACATTTGATATGCTGGGGTGTATATATATATATATATATATATATATATAATATTGGCAGGTGTGGCTAGCTTATCTTATCAACATTTCTGCAACCTTTTACATGCATATTCACATACAGCACACGGTGGTATTAATGGCTGCTGCTACTACTCAGGGCCAATATGTAAATATGAACAAATGTGAAAGTCATAAGGGCTGATTGCACACTATTGATAGTACATGCGTAAGTCATTAATTCGACATTATGTTAGAGGCGCTAGTGCTTCAATGCTCAGAGAGGATCTAATGGGACATGGTTTTAGTGTGTTACTGTCCCCTATCAGGTCTGCCTGATGGCAAGTGGTATGGGGCCACTTTTGTATTTGCAGAATTTGATTGGCCCTGGACCATTAAATTCTTCATAGTGAGAAACAGCTCCTCCCACCACCCTCAAAGCCAAATTAATGGTACATGTGGAGGTGGAGTCAGAATGGTGCTAGTGTGTTGTTGCTCCTCCCACCAGCCATTGGAATGGATCTAATTGGGGAGCTGAGTGCTTGTGCAATTATATAGGCATTGGTGGCAGGATTGGCATCCTTCATTGCTAGGATCATTTGTTTCGCTAGTTTTTTTTGTTTGCCAATCCTGCTACCAATGCCTATAAAATTGTTTTTTTGCACTTAGCTCCCCATTATAATCCATTCCAATGGCTTGGTTGGGAGGGAGCAACAACACACTAGCACCTTTCTGACTCCACCTCCACATTACCCATTAATTTGGCTTTCATGGTGGTGGTTGGGAGGAGCTGTTTCTACACCTCTGATTTTTCAAATTTTATATGGTCCGTATGGCCAATCAAATTCTGCAAATACCAAAGTGCCCCACTCACTTGTCCATCACGGGCAGACCCTGATAGGGGAACAGTAACACACTTAAAACCATGTTTCCATTAGATCCTCCTCTGAGCATTGAAGCACAAGCGCCTCTAACATAATGTCGCGAAATTTAATGACTTACGCAATGTTACAATCAATAATGTTGCAATCAGCCCTTATTGACTTTTCAAATTTGTTCATATTTAACATATTGGCCCTGAGTAAAGTAGCAGCAGCCAATAATACCAACGTGTGCTGTAAGTGAATATGCATGTAAAGGTGCAAGAAAATGTGATAAGAGATAGCCAAGCAACACCTGCCAATAAAATATATATATATAATATATATAATATACACCAGCATATCAAATGTATAGCAACTTTGTTTAAGTACATTAATCACTAAAATTTAAGATCAACAATTGTACTGGCATAAAAATGGGACATACATACAAGTGTTCTGTGTCAGTCCTCTGCTTCAAGCTACTAGTATCCTTTTATAAAAATTGAGTGGAAATCATCATCTTTATTGCGTGTAATTTTCATTTTACCCTTGACTAGACAAAGAGAAAACCTTACTACTTATGCAGTTCCAATGGGACAACTGAAACACACTGCAGAACTGACAATGCTGCTGCTATTTACGAGTCACCAGTATATCATTAAAAAATGATTTCATTAAGAGGGCATGGTACCAAAAGCACCTAAAAAATAAACATGGGGGTTCGTAAACCTTAAACCTGATTGCCAGTGGGAGAGTACATACAATTCTTTTTTTGTTAACCATTTGCTGACCTCAATAACCTAGTTATATGGTGGCAGAGTGGTTCTCTGTGTATATAATTACTGGTATAATATAAATAAATAACATCAAACAAAACAAATAAATAAGTAAAAAATTCCAGTTACTATAATCATATGTTTGTAGATGCTGATATCGGTTTCTGTAAATCAATCAATATATGCTTATTGGGATTTTTTTTTAAGGCCATTTAAAATTATTAGCAGAATACATAACATTCCTAAATTTAATGAAGAAATAGATTTAAAAAAAAATGTTTTCATTGGATGTTTTTATAGCTTAGATAAAGTAAAAATATATTGTTTGTTTTTCAAAATTTTTTTCTCATTTATAGCACAAAAAATGAAAAAACAAACAATGGTATCAAATACCACCAAAAGAAAGATCTATTTGTAGGAAAAAAATTATATAATTTTATTTGTAGTACAGTGTTGCATGGCT